AACGTTACGAGAGAACTGAGTAAGAAGTTAGGGTAAGTTTTGAAAATTGTGCGCACACCTCGAAAATCCTGGCTACTCTCCTGATAGAGACTTTTGCTGGAGAGAAATTGAAACATGCTTGCTAATATAGTGACGACCAGAAAGGACAAGCCATAGGATAGTTCCAGAAAACCATCCATTAAAATAGATCATGAAGTTGTCGCGGCGGAGGATGAACTTGAAGGCTTCTGATGAAGTGCAATTTTTCAAGGGAGCCCAGAAAAGATTATGTACGATTGGCACAGCTTGTTTGATCTGGAAAGTTTACAGAAGTTCAAGGCAAATCGCTAGACAACACATGCTAGAGCTGAAATAAAAATATTTTGCGCTTTTGACCTCTGTCCCTAAGGGTAAAGGAGAAAGTTTGCCTTTATCAATGCATTAACCAAGTTGATTATGAATGTTTCCTTATGTTGGACGTCTTACTAACAATTTAACAATATTACCACTACTTGTCCTAAGAGGCGTTTTTGAGTTGACGAGCAGAGAAAATGAGGTTTTGACGGTCTGAAATTCAGGATGCCAGAGTGAAGACGCGTTTTACTACTGATAGTACGTCAATCGGTACACTTATGTTGTCGAAAGGTCCGTGAGCATGGTAAATTATTTTACATTAAACTGCAGACACATCTTCTTCAATCACTCCTTATTGTTCGCGATATCGGATAAACACTCTGATCGCTAACTGAATTTTCTTTGCTGTTTACTTTATTTTGAACTGGGACTGTCTTGAGTTGTCCATGCATTGACTAGCGATTTTAAGCTTTTTCAAGGAAACGAAAATCTGGAATTGTACCTAGGGTGTTGCATTTGCGCACAGTTTTAAAGCCCTTCGGTGGGGTGACTGTGGTTTTTGTTGTCCTGGGTTCTTAACCCCTTCCAAACCAATTTTTCTGTTTATCAAAAAACCCTTTATGGAAAGGCAAAGGATCTCCTCAAAACGGGCTTCGTGATTGAGACAAAATATCTGGAAATTGTGCACGGAACCGTTGTTAATGGTGTACAAAGTAGAAGGAGTCTATTTATTACTTTGCCAACGCCCAATTTTTAAAACCGGAAGTAATGATGTTTATTTCAAGGGCTCATGTCTCATGAGTTTTGAGTGAACCTTCAAACGCTGTAAATACATGTAGCTGGAACTATCATCGCATCCTCGCTCACTAGTAATGATAACTTATATCAACTTCCATTATTTATTGCCTGGCTAAGATTTTCACGGATTCTTCAGTTCAGTTGTTTGAAACCAGGCGGTTTCACGTGAGTTGTAACGCTTGGGAAAATATTACTTTTTTGCGATCAAGCTGGAAACTGGCATCTTTGTCGTCGAGTAAGGTAATAGATCTCAATTTTCATTACTATGGTTAATTCTAAAAGCTCTGATTTCGATAAAGGAACTGGAGGAAAATCAGGAAAATTCCAGTTGGACTGTGATGGTTGCATTTTGTTTATGCGTCGTAGCATAAACATAACAAATTCATTTTCCTTTTCCTTATACAATCGGCCTTTTTTTTTACCGTTTTTCGCAGCAGAGTTATCGATTATATTACAGAGGCTAATTTTATTACACAAATCACTCAGATTTAATGACAGAAACTCTATTATCGATTGTAATTTATGCAACACCTGGCGAGTATTCGGTGTAAAGATTATTGACAAAGTCGCGGGAACACTCTTCCATTCATTACTTTTGTTTCCAGGGGCACCCAATGGATCTGTTCCTCAAAATATCTGTTCTTCAGGCACATTTTTGCTGGCTGGGAGATTTGGAAGAAAAAATAATTCTTGGAAGAAAAGTGTTGCTGGGAAAAAGATAATCCAGGGTGTCAGAGGGGATTTGAAGACTAGAATAGCTGCTACGGGTCACTTGTATGGGTTACTTACCACTCAAGATCTGAATTGTGCCCTATGAAACTTCCTAGTAAGTCAGGTTGCAGGTTGTAAGTTTGCTGGCTGGGAACTCTTCCATCAGTCTTGCTGGGAGTGAGGAACAGATAATTTTTTTCCAGCAATCTCCCAAAATGCTTAAAATAGTCTCAGAAAACTTTATTCACGCTTTGTTGTTGCTTGTAGGTCTTTTTCTCAAAATTTCCCCTTGGGTGCCCCTGTGTTTCTGCTCCGTTAAATTTGCCCAATTTTTTTATTAACGAACTCGATTTAAATACAAACAATGAGTATTCAGGCAGAGTGGCAAGTTTCAATACGATGTGGCAAAAGAGATATACGCCTTTAAAATTCTTTTAATTTTGCGGGTGTAAAAAATTCGAAAAGTATACCCACCAAAAGTTTAATCGATCGTTTCGAAAACGCTATCAATTTCGAAGTATTTTCTAAAAATACAGTAAAGAGGGGTTGTTCTTTCAATGTGTATCGGCAAAGAAAGATTGGCTTTGAAGACAGGGTTGTAGTCGAAGGCTCAAAAGCAGCTTCTATTAACCAATATGGCGCCGGTCCGAGGCACCCAAAAACCGGCCATGTCGATAATTTCCGAAACAGGAGGAATTAGAACCTAACGTTACCTATTCCTTAGTAAAGACCCCAAATCAAGTCTACTTGCCAATTTTTAGCCAATTCGGTGAGATAGTGTGGCAGTGACTTTTCAATATAGCTCGAATCTTACAGACCAGTGCTCTTAAGTTCCCGGATGTACGGTCACACGGTTTGGCAGACCAGCATAGACCGGCCGCAATAATACAATACAATACGATATTGGACGATGCGGACTCTGCAAATCGTATTAACTTTGTCCCATCTCATTGCTTTACATGATGCTCTTCCGGAAACTTTTCTCAAGGTGACCAATAACGAAATGTGAACTGCTAAACGGCACCGAACCAGCTTAACGCTCGCACTGACGTCAAATAATTGTCGCTTGTGTTAGACAGAGAATTGTGGGTAGGGGCGTAAAAAATAACCAAAGAGGGAGGGAGAGGGGAGCTGGTTAGATAGAAGTTCGCGAAATTCTGTCTACAGCCACTTCTACACAAATCCCTAGCACAAAACAACCAAAAAAAAAAAGACATTAAGCAAACAACACAGTAAAAAAGCTAAGACAGTGGAAGTTGAGAGAAATTACAAAATGTTTGCTAACCTAAAAAAGGGCAGATTAAAAAATATCTGGATAAGTGTGGACGGGGCCTGAAGGAGTATTAAAAACTAACTACACTGTTTATAGCTACAAAGCGTCATTTAATTTGACGTCACCTAACAAAAAATAATAATGTAATACAGTAATATTTTTACTCCAAGTGATTGAGGAAATGCATTACTACCGGTAGTGCTCCTGATGTACACTAGCAGTTATTTATAAATTCATTTTTACTGATTTGTCAGGAAACCTTAAAACAGACATTTCATTTGGTAAGGGTAGGTATGACACGTTGAACATTGCTCATGTCAATGCCAGGGGAAGTGTATTTCATAAATTGTTTCTCTAGCTGTTCTTTGCAGCAGAAATCTTTGTCCTGCATCTCGAAGTGAAAGAAAAGAGGAAAGCTAAAAAGTTAGAAATAATAATCATCATCCTTTTCATTTACAATTATTATGAATATCTGCTTTTTGTTTAGTGAAATACTGTACTGGGCATTAATAATCGTTACCTTACGCAACAGTTTTTAAATGGAGTATGTGCTCAGTTTTTACTCTTTTTGTAATTACTTTCGAAACGCGCTAAGCAGTCTTCTCCTTAGTCTTCTCTCCCAGTACATTTCGGCCATTAGCGTGATAAATGCTAAAACCATGCCGCCAATAAGAACAATATAGACACCAAGCATACTTCTCAGATCAATCTGCTTCTGCTCCAAAACTGAAAAGAAAGAAAAAAGAAGACAATGTTTAAAAAAAGAAGGAACATCGCATATAATGAGGAGCAAAGTCCACCGCCGAGAGTTTAGATGAAACTGCATCAATTATCCTGTATGTTACCCCTATATTAAGTTATTTAGGTTACTGTGCACAGCCTTTTTAAATATTGCCTTTGGGTGTGGTCCCATCTTTATGTAGCCAAAAGCAGAGACTCTAAGATGCTGTAAAGAATCACAATTGTCCTTTTGTTAAATTAGCAAGTAACAAAATATAATTTGGCGTGAATGCCTATGTAAGGCCAGAAAGGAAATACAAAAGAAAGCCGATCTGCTTAAATCCATTCTGGAATATCAGTTTTTCTAACAAGGGTTGTCATTATTAAGTTCTGAGCCTTACCAAAAAAAATTCAATTTTCGAATTAACTTGATTTAACACCGGTTCTGCATTAATTCTCTTTCGGAAATACAGCTCGAAATTATCCCATGAAGCGATATTCTTACGTGTATTTTCTTCATCATCGGCGCAACTGTTAGATGTTTGCCACCATTTTCGATGCAAATCCTCGAGAACAAGAGTGTTTTGAAGACGTAGAATGGCCATTGTAAATTGCATGGTATGAGGATCATTTGCTTGAAGAGCGAATGCTAACCCATTGGTTGTACTTAACCCTGGAACTAACAAATAAGAGCCATTTGTAGAAACAAACAAACAAACCAAATAAGGTAATAATGAAATGGTTGTGAAGCCTGGCATAGCCTCGAACATGCATTTTTCACAGCTTTTATTTCAGTGTCAGGATAGCTTTCATGACCTTTCGATTCATCTTAGTTATACATCTTATACTAAGACCACAGCAAACAATTGCCAACTATTTTTGCTCGGTGTGTTTTATCAAACTTTTTTCTTATTAAGGAAAAGGGAAAAAGTTAGGTTTAAGAGTGATAGATAATTGTTTTTTGCAAGGACAACATTTGATCCTATAGAATACAATAAGTTGAGCGGGCCGATTCAGTACTAAGGATTCTCTACGAATTACCATAACTTACTGGTATAATTATTATCACAGTCTTATTGGAGTTGGGATACAGTTTTTGAATGAATATTCACATGCGCCTAGGTAATGCGATAAGGACTTAAGTTTCTTAAATTAATTTAACAGACTATTTTTCCACGATTGTGGAATAATTACCTGATTTTAGGTTACAAGGTGGCTCCTTAGCCGCATGCCTAAGAGTGGGTCCTTCAGAAATAAAAACAAATCTTTCCCGTTCCCTGACCCATTGAACACCTTCAGCTATGCTGGGGGGGAAGGTATTGGCAACCTTCATCCTATGCCAAATCTTTTTGTGTGTTTCGTATTGGCTTTCTTTAAAAGCCTGGTAAGTTGCTCCTGAATGAATGACTCCAGTTTCATAATTTGACTTTGCCAGGTCTTCCAGGTTGTTAATAGGGTGCTCCGCGTATTTCACCGTAAAGAAGGCGGCCAGATTGGCAGTGTACGTTGAGATCCAGATCAAAATACAAAACCAGTAACATCCGGTCAGAATTCGGCCTGAGGTAAAAGGAACAGTAAAAAAAGAAAAATATATATTGTTGAACCAGCACTACAAAACAGACGAAGCGGAAGGTCAATGCTTTTAAATTCTGCTTTTTGCCCTTCTCAGTTGCTTAAGATCGCAGTACATGGCAGCAGGAAGTAATGCCTTTTCTTCACAGCACTGCAAGTATTGTTGGGAATGTTGATTGTCATATAGTTAATTAAATTAAACACTTTCCAGCTTTTAGGACAATTGAAAGCCGTCAACAAAGAAACTTGGTACTTTTCATTATCCTTAGATTTTATATTTTGCATATTTTCCGTGGGTTAAGTTAACTTAACTTTAAAGTAATTAACAACAAGAACGAGAAGAAGGAAAAACCTGATAAGCTTCGTGGCGTGTTATCACCGCCTTGTTGCAGCATAGAGGCCACAGCAAACCACAGACTATTGAAATAGCTGAATTCATCCGAGGTTCTACGGCCACTTTCGTCTTTGTACCCATAAGGACTGTAGTAGTTTATTCCAAACACGGCCACAGAAACTATAACCAGCGAGCTCAAAGTGCAGAACCAAACGTTACTGTGAAATGGGCTCATGAACTGCAGCAAATCATGGTTTTCCTTTGAAGATTTCTTCATTAAAATATCATTAGTGTAAAACATGAATGGGACAGTGAAGTCCACCACCTTCGCCCTAAGTTCGGTGACAGTTAGTGAAGCTACGATTACATCAGCTCTCTAAGGAGAAAAAAAGAGGCAAGTCCTGTTTATGAGAATATTGTTACGAAGGTAAGCCGAAGCTCATCACCTCCGGCCACGCCTCTACCTCCCTTAGAGGGCAGTGGGTCACGCCAGCATATTGGACTTCCAAGCTTAATTTTGTAAAATTCATCTTTCACACCCCAAAAAATCGTTGTCAACCAAAGTATGTATGTATGTCTTTGAATTCCAAACTAGCAGTCATGGAGCTCAGTTGTTGTTATTTCCGTGTTTTGTAAGTATAGTACTTGAAGCTCTCCCAAGAGGACACTCTCGTAAGCGGACAGCTCTACTAACGGCCACCTTGACAAAACTCCATTTTTCTCAACTCTCATAAAACTCTGTATTTATACATTCCCGTAAGCGGCCAGCTCCAGTTGCGGAAACCTTTTCGCGTCCCGAGGGTGCCCGCGTACGAGAGATTCAACTGTAATCGCTTTCGGTACAGCGGACTAGGTCGTCTACTTTGGGGGAAAGGGGGTACTTCCTAGTACTAGGCTAATGGGTATGGACCGCTGGATGGGGTTGCATTTTCACGAATGGATTGACTATTATGAGGTTGCATTTTTATAAGTTTTACTGAGAATGGGGTCGCGCAGTCTCAGGATTTTGGGGGTCAGAACATTTAGGTTAGCAGCAAGAGAGGATAAAGGGCACAGAGAAGGCATCCCCCATAAACACCCTATTCAATAGGTAATTTGTCTCGAGTTGTTTTTAGGACCACAGATCCCAAGGGGGATTAGACAACAGCCAATCACATAGCGCGAATGTGTTCCGCGTGGATGACCCACGCTCAGAGCCACGAGTCCTTCACGAATTGACGCACAGCAAAATGGCGGAAGACACGAACAGCGATATTGCTATTCGTTTTGTCGACAAAAACGACTACAGAGAGATTTCTGCTAAAGCTGTGTCAGCCAAACGGAAATTAAAAAAGAATCGCCCTTCCTCTCTTGTAGAGACCTAACAGTACAGCAGGGAAATCCTTAACACACTGAATATTCTCTCAGGATCATTTATATTTTACAGTTCGAAGAGCGCAACGTCTGGTTTGATATTTATTCTTTTATTAGTCTTTTATTATTCAACAAAAATAACACTTGGGGTCCTAATTGCTTTATTGTACAAGCGACCGGTTTCAATAGACCGGCGAAATTTCTCATTTTGTTAAAGCAATGAGGTTACGACAACTTCGAGTAAACTGATTTCACAGGTTGTCAAAGAGTCCAGCGATTCCCTTTTCCCAAGTGAGCGCCGACTCATTTCGCTTCAATATTCAGAAATGCTCTCGATCTCTTTACGCTTTCATTGCCTTTCGCCCGACATGTTTTGCACGGCGTTTAGTCATGCGAAACCTCTACGAAACATCCACGCAGCGCGCGAGGTAACTTTATCCCGATTCTAAAAATAACTCGAGACGAATTACCTATGGAATAGGGTGTGTATGGGGGATGCCTTCTCTGTCCCCTTTATCTTCTCTTGGTTAGTAGGGATTTAAAAATAGAAAGATTTACACCACAGTAAGTTTAACAAATGTGTCAGTTCATGTCAGAATGACCTAGTGAAAAGGCCTTATAAGGTAGATGCATAAACAGAAAATAACTAAGCTGGGATGGCGAAAATTCGTTTTTTTCCTAAAGTGACTTAAATGGGGTCTATAATATGACCACAGAATAGACTTTGATGATTTACGTACTGATTTAATGGCCTTTTTTTACAATTTGTAATGTATTGTTATTTTTTTTCATAGTTAACTCTTGAAATAGTGCAATAAATGTAAAAAAGTCTGAATCTTGAAAATCAGACTATAATGAGACGCCAGCGGCACATACCCAGCAAAAATTAACCCAAGTACCTCCCCCCCCCTGCAAGGGTCTTCTAGTGCTCGTTTCTGAAGTCTCAACCTTAAAGTCACAAGTTTTTGGGTATAAATTTTCATAAACATAGTTATATACCTTTTCTATTAGCTCTCCAATCAATCCGTTCCATGTTCCATTTTCCGTTTTAGCGCCATAATATCCGTCAGGCGTAGGGTAGAACTCATATGTAAACTTGAGAATTTTTGCCAGTTCTTTGAAAAGATCGATGCAATATCCTTCATACCATACGCTGTCACCATCCTGTTTCTTCATAACAAAAGGTTCATTCTGTGTTGGAGAAGAAAGAGAAATAGAAACACCAATTTATATTAATTAACGCCCGGCTTCATAACATTTTACTAAACATACCTCTACTCAAGGACTTACAAGTTAATACCCCGCCCAGGCCTTTAGCATTTGCTTCGAATTTGCTGTGTTATATTTTTCATTTTTTGTACCCATAGCTAATCTCGCAATCACAGTCTTAATTAAAGGCTTCTTTACCTCCACTATGACAACTCTCAACTTTTTCCCTTCCAAAGTTTCTGCAGTAGATGAAGGTTTTGAGTTACGTGAAATATTTCCAAACATCGTAACACCTGTGGTTGAATTCCACGTACCTACCTACGAGCGAGAATGGAGTTTAATCATTATGATCATTCAATAATGCTAGTTCATATAATAAATAACTCTTAGACACGCAAATACTGTACTGGGTAAAGATGTTCTATACAAATATGTTTTGTACTGTTCTTACGAAAAACAGGAATTCAAAATAATTACCTTAAGCCTTACACTCTCGCCAGGCCTAGTCAGTGTCTAGGCCTAGAATCGTAATTGTTAGTTTCTTTATACTCAGAAGTAAATTATATAAAGGAACAAAATATTACGATTATGGGTCCGAACAACAAATAAATGTCTTAGCTTCATTCTATAAAAGTTCCGTTTTCTAAGAAACAATAATCAAGGCACGATATATGTATTCTCTCCTACACTGTATCTTGAATACACGCGATATACTTTGAATTGTACGCCAGCAGTTTTGCTGGCAATTAGAAGCACACCATATAAGGAAGTTAAACAATGGAGAATACTCACTCCTCTAAAAGAATTGTTTTGTAGGTTCAGAATTTCCAGATTAACCTCCTTTCTACCTCCTTTCTCGTCAAACTTGACTTTTCCTGTTCTCCCACTCATATCGACCTGTTAAACACAGTGGTCATGGGTGAAGACACAGAAGTGACGACAGCCAAGAGACTAAAAGCTATGGAGGGACGGGCAGTTAATTAACAATTAATGAGTATCTTATGAAGAATTATGGAGATCGAGGAGGGTGTTATAAGGCCTCGACGGATAACACCTTTCCTCGATCTCCATAATTCTTCATATGATGCGAAAACCGAATTCAATAATGTTTTATTATTCATTAAAAATAATTCCTAGTTTAAAAACATGGCTAAAACATTCTTACCTCCATCGATCCATCTTCCATATGCATAGTGCACGTTAGGGTTGTTCAGCTCCGTAAATATTCTCCAAATAGTAGATGTCGCCCTTCGAGTTGTCTTCTTGCTGTTCTTGCCATGTTTTTTAAGCAATTATTTCGCCTAGTTCTTACTCTTAAATGGAATGAAATGTCCGCCATTTTTATTTTCACAGCCAAAACAACTCAACCTCGTCCCCAGGTCTTCTCGGTGAACAAGCTGCAAAAAAGCTACACTTTTGACGCCATCGGTTCATTAAACGCAAAATTCCTCCAAATTTGGTCATCAGTAGCTTGTTATGGTGAACTATGCGTGTGCTTTTAGCCAATGAGAATCGGGGAAACACGAGGAGCCGCATGCAGTAAAACTTCTGTCCCGTAATTTAATCAGTTTAAATCATCAAAGTTGACAGGTCTTTCTGATGATCAAAGCGACCGTTCGGTTTACCATTTACACCTTCAGTGCGAAGACTGTCACGGGAACATTAACACCCTCAGGATAACTGCTTACCATAACAGTGGTAGGTCGCGCGCGTCTGGTCGGTTTCGAAGAACGTGATCGTGACTGTTGTTTTCATTCAGTGACTGTGCGCGTTACTATGCCAACGTTTAAAACAGACTGCAACATTAAATTTTTGTTATAGAAGCAAAGAAGCTGCTGAGTAGAAACTAAACCGTATCAGACTTATTCCGTTTCATTCCTGTACTTTCATTTTGATGGGGTCTGAATGATGAATTTACTTCTGCCTTCTAATCAGGTACGTAAACAACATAGAGATAAAACATTTCATTTTGCTTTTGTGGAGTAAATTCATCTTAGAAAAGTTAAACTAGTGGACCACTTTCTCCGCGTACTTGTAAAAATAGGCATTTAATATGTCGCGCTACAGTGCGAAAATCTTCTTGTCGTGGATTAGATTTCAGTATACATATTAATCTTCATTTCCCGCCAGAATAAATTAGTTTGCGGGCAAAGGGCTCCTAAAAAAAATCACAAGGTTGTCCCACTTCGAGTCCACCTTCTGGAGATACGCCGGCATGGTAGCTGGAATACATTGCCGAGGCGACGATCTGGCATTTTTTCCTCCTCGTCTTTTTTTTTTCCCCGCGACGTTTGTTTATATTTGTGGTGAGAATGCCGTACATATCGGTGGATTTTACTTCAGTCAAGCGGCTTCAGTTCCTGCGGCTTGCTACTCATCATAAAGAAGAGTGCCGGAATCGCTTTGTTCGCTTTGTTGTCGAATGCAAGGTAAAAGAACGGACTACCGTAAGGTAAGAATTGAAGGTTAAATTTGTTACTCGGCGAAAAATAGTGCATACAACTCGTGAAACCCGTGAGTATTACCTCTGTTTAATATACCGGATGTCAAGCGATGACCCCTCGCTTTTACGATGGATAAGACGGATACAAACAATAATTTCTTCCGCAACGTTTAGTATAGTTTACTTACTATGGAGATCATCTGAGGACGATTTTTCGTTATATATGCTTCATTTCTTGACTTATTCCGGCTACGTGCGAAAAATTAGATGACAATGTTTGTGTGCTACAATTATACTGATAATTTCTTGCACCTTGAAACTCATGAAAGCCAAACTTGTTTAACCCTAGCAAAAACCCCTTTTAATGGAGGAACTCAACCTGATAGTTGCACTAAAATCTAATAATTGTTACTGCATTTGCATGCTCTCTGTAACCTCGTGGGTAGAACATACCTGAAGGTTACGTTAATAATAATCATTGCACTTTCTCTTTGTAACCTCGTGGGAAAAAAAATTAATGCCTCTCTCCTGGAAATTTTGCCCTGTCCTTTGAGGATAGTGATCTTTGGGTTGCGAAGTCACGAAAACAGGTAAAACGCTTTTTTTAACAATAGCGTTTATATTATTTGGCTTTTTGAGGGAGGTTAAACATTAATGGAATAGAATATAAAAAAAGCTGATAAAGCGGAAAAAGTTATCTTTACAAAATGCGCTTTGACAATGTCAAGAGTGAAATAAGCTGAAGTTTTGTAGTTAGCCCGAAGAAAACCTGTTCCTGCATGAAAAGCAGTTCTGATTCCCTTCTCTTAACTAGAAGAGATGCATATCCCTGTGAACCAGTTTTTTAACCAGAAGTGATTCCCACTCACTTCTGATACTTTATTGACACGAGTTCCTATTTCAATATATGTCTAATTCAAGCTTAGCCGCGTGATAGCTCTTCATTAGCGAAAAGGTCCAAGTGATATTTTGATTGACGTGTTGTTTTGGATCCTGAGGTTTTTTAAAAACTTTTCTCTAGCTTAACTGGCGAAGATATTCTAGGAATTTGCCCTTCAATTCCAAATTCTTTGATATGCCGCCAGATGCCGTGCAAAAATATCACCGCTTGCGGCTCCTCGTGTATTTTGAATGAATAATAAGACTAGTTAATAAATGAAAAATTTAAATCATTATTGGAAGTCAAGCTCCCTTACCTTGAAATACCTTTTTAATAAATGACATAGTTCTAGATAACCCATGGAGTCAAGGGGTTTTTGCTAACCTAACTAAAAAATTATAGCTTCCATAAATTGCCACCCGGAGTTAAATGAGATTCAAGTTCCAGTTGTCGTAATCAGTTTCATCCGGGCAAAAATTTCTGGAAAAGAGTTAGATTCAGACTTTCATATGATACCGTTCCAATACCTTTCAACACTGGTTACCTTTCTTATACAAGCTAATATTTCAGCTGTATCGTTCATAGTAACGGCCGTGCCATTAATAGAAGAGCATGGCTGTTCGTTCAATGCTCGTTTTAGAACTTCGACGGAATCGTAAGCTAGTGCGAGAAGCCCCTGAAAAAATAAGCATGTCTCCATTAATTCAATCGGAAAACGGGAATACATACGACATTCATTGATTCATTATTAATTTCAAAGCGAAATAAATGAGGATACCGCTAAAGTGACGTGTGGATACTCGTCGTCTCGCATAGGGGTGGAAATTGCAGATTTTGGCCTCGTTCGGAAAGCCAACACTGTTACTTATAAAGACATCGCTTAGGGTTGTGCGTAAAGACATATTGATACTAGAAAAACATCAAACGCCGTTAGTAGCTTTATAAAGAACTAATAGAACGCTCTCTCACGGGTTGTTTCAAATCACAGAATAGCATGACATACCTTGTTGGTATTATTGTAGATTATTTTGAGGTTGTTCTCCATGTTCTCAAAATCTTGGTTTTTGATGTATGGAATGTTCATTGTTAGAACCACATTGTTTCCATGGCTGCTTAAGTTTAGCGAAATCTGAAAGTCAAACAATACAGTAAAAACCCGCGTATAAGAACCTAGTGATTTAAGAACCTACAGGCTGAAATTTTGCATTTTAATACCCAAATATATAAGAACCTATTCAGCCTGACAAAGAAAATGGGTTCTTATATAAAAAAAAAAACACTCCAGATTTGATGTTCAAATTCTGAATTTTAATTGTAAAAATTTTTGTAGTGTACTGTATATACTGTAAATAGCCAAACATGTTTTGTTCTGTACCGCAAGGAATTGATTGGTAAACAAGGCAGGCATACTGTATTTTTCCTGTTGAAATTTGGTCAGGCCCATGATACAGGACTTGTTTCGACAACAAGGCTTCACATTTTTGTAATTGCTTTACAATTATAGCATATTAGTACTATTGCAGTTCCCTGAATGTTATCACTATAATAACTTTTGCTAGTAAGAACCTACTAACAACCTAATCAGCCTGTTGTTGGAAAAATACCCCAAAATATAAGAACATTACAAGCCGCAGGCTCGATTTTCGGGGGATTGCGACGTTCAGCGTCGCAATCTTCGCATATTTCTGAAGGGCGAGGCGCCAAGTCTATTGTTTTGAACTAAGGGTTATATTACATCAAGAGACCCTGAGCCTATCTTAAAGCTGTCAACAATGTTCGTTTTATTGAGCAATCTTTCATCTTCGACACTTAATCCAGTTTATCTTAAGTGGACACCCAACCTAGTTGCTATTCACGTGCACTGTCGAAAGCATAATATCAAATAGACTTCAAAAATTCTGCATTGGAGCTTCACTCTTCGTCTTTAATTTTAGCCCACCCACTCAATAAACAATAAATAAGAACAATATTACCGAAAAATAATTACAACTGAGAACTTGATGAATAAACAATGAAAACAACAACTTATGATCAATTATCTCTCAGGGAGATCACCCGCCAAAGCGGATACCCGCGAGGTTTGTTCGGTTTCAACATAGACGGTGGAAATTTTTACAACCCTAGTATAAATCTGGCCTAATTGTCACATTTGATCGAAGAGAGATATTTACGCAAAAAAAAACTATCATAGTTCACAAATGATTTAGACATTATCTTAATATTTTACCTTAAACTGTCGAAATTAAAGTATTGCCGCCCGCGGACAAAACTAGCTTTTTTCCGGTTTCCGGTGTACATCAAACACAGACATCACGCTGAATATTATCCAGAATGAGAGCCGTAGATCAGAAAAAAAATCACAATGACTAAATTTCGCTTTTGAAACCAACACCACTCGTCGTAAGATTGGGCGCACCGCATGAGAGCTAAAGACTTAAGAGGGAGAGAAAATAAAAATCTACTGAATTATATACACTAACAAAAACAAAATATGAACAAAAACAACAACTCTGTAACGACTAGCTAAAACACGATCGATTCAAGCTGTGACTTACTTTATACTTTATCACAGCTTCTTAAGAATGGGCGCGCTGCCTGTAAGCCATTAGGAAGAGGAGAGAAAAATCTACCGAATTATACAAACTAAAGCAATGTAAAAAAAGCTGCATTTACTAGCTAAAACACGATCGATTTTAGCTATGTACTATTCACTTTAAGAAAATCTCCCTTCACCTCTTAAACTTGGGCGCGCCGCCTGTAAGCTAAGAGGGAGAGGAGAGAATAACCTACTGAATTATCCGAACTAACACAGCGTATAAAAACCGCAATAGGCTAGCTAGTAAAACATGATCGACTCAAGCTACGAGTGTTTCAATTTAAATATTTCTCTCTTCACCTCTTAAACTTGGGCGTGCCGCCTGGAAGCCAAGAGGGAGAGGAGAGAAAAATTTACTGAATTATCCAAACTAACATAGCTCATGAAAGCTGCAATTGGCTAGATAGTAAAACATGATCGATTCAAGCTACGAGTTTTTTACTCTTGAAAAAAATCTCTCTTCACCTCTTAAACTTGGGCGCGCCGCCTGTAAGCTAAGAGGGAGAGGAGAGAATGACCTACTGAATTATCCAAAACTAACACGGCGTATAAAAACTGCAATAGGCTAGCTAATAAAACACGATCGACTAAAGCTACGAGTGTTTCAATTTAAATAAATCTCTCTTCACCTCTTAAACTTGGGCGTGCCGCCTGGAAGCCAAGAGGGAGAGGAGAGAGTAACCAAACTAACACAGCGTAAGAAAACTGCAATTGGCTAGCTAGTAAAACATGGTCTATTCAGGCTACGAGCTTTTTGCCCTTGAAAAAAATCTCTCGTCACCTCTTAAACTTGGGCGTGCCGCCTGTAAGCTAAGAGGGAGAGGAGAGAAAAATTTACTGAATTATCTAAACTAACACAGCGCATGAAAACTGTAACTGGCTAGCTAGCTAAAACATGACGATTCAATCTACGAGTTTTCCCCCTTTAAAAATCTCTCTTCACCTCTTAAACTTGGGCGTGCCGCCTGTAAGCTAAGAGGGAGAGGAGAGAAAAATTTACTGAATTATCCAAACTAACATAGCTCATAAAAACTGCAATTGCCTAGATAGTAAAACATGATCGATTCAAGCTACGAGTTTTTTACCCTTGAAAAAAATCTCTCTTCACCTCTTAAACTTGGGCGCGCCGCCTGTAAGCTAAGAGGGAGAGGAGAGAATAACCTACTGAATTATCCGAACTAACACAGGATATGAAAATTGCAATTGGCTAGCTAAAACACGATCGATTTAAGGATCCGAGTTCTTTTTACTTAAAAAATCTCTCTTCACAAAATGCGTTCCTATAATCCATTCCTCGAAATTTGAATCTGTAAATCACTTTCGGTAAAAATCTAACATCGTGCAGAAAATACTAAACGAGCTGGGCCCAGCGTGACATAAATTGAAGGAAACCATCACATTGATTCACGGACAAAAGAATATCGCCTTTAGCTATTCAGATCCAGGAGGCACTTTGGAGAAGACTAAACAACCTAAAACTCTTATTTAGCCGCAAAGGAAGAGATTTACGTTTCAAAAGAGGTCGAAGAAAGTGCTCTTGCATCAGAGGACAAATCATGCCGACCAGAAACAATAACCGCAGAAAATCAATATGCGTGTCATGACCTCTCAGTATGAAACAAGCGGCAAAGTTCACATTTACTCATTCAAAGAGTAGAACCCAGAATATAATATACCCACCAGAGAAAACAATTTTTGGAACAAGCAGCATTTTGGCACGAGGTAAAAGTCGTGTGTTGCCTACCAGCCCCCTTTTTACACTCTGTTAGATGGTTCGAGCATTTTGGCGGGATCACGGCTCTTTTGGCGCGTGTTGTAAATGCCCTTTGAATTATGATATTTGTGCGTTATTGTATAGTGATCGAGGATATACACAATACCAAAGGCAAGTAAATATTTTCCTCTGTTTTCCTCAGTGTCGTCAAACCGGCTTCACCGATGTGCTCGAACTCCGCATGCCAGAGCCACAACAAGCTGCTCCTCTACCTTTTAAATAATAAAGGTCTTACCTTATATCGGCGAACATAGTTTCTGTCCTTCGGACATAATGCGAAATAACATCCAGAACTCTTCACGTTGAACTTTTGAAACCATTTCGGCGACAATATGTAACTTACCAGGTAAGGTACCGAATAATTATTACTTTGGAGGGTTCCAATTCGACCTTCATAAAGCGCTAGATTTTGCCTTTCGCTTAAGAAACCAAAAAAATATTTCTTTTTTTTCCAAGACTTACACCAAGACCCTTTTTTAACACCAACCATGAATTTAAGTATTTTCATTAAGTGATTTTGACGAGAACCATAGCTGAGTTAAAATATCTCGCTCCGATGGTATAAATTCGGCGCGCAGAAGACAAGCTCTGATATTTGACGCAAATTTGTGTCCTGTCAGGAGCTAAAATGAGTTTATTGACAGATGAACTGACAGAAAGCGATTAATGTGAACACCTGAGGTGCCCAAGGAAATGTGTCAAGACTAACGCCTTGTAGTTACTTGAGTCCAGTTTGTGGGTATCTCCATGGAAATTAAGGATCCCTGGTGCGTGCACGAAAATCGACCTTGCGGCTCGTAATGCTGTCCAGCCTGAACTCCAAAATTCTAGGTTCTTATACGCGGGTTTTTACTGTATATATACGTCGTGTTGAGAAAAATGAAAAAGGATTGATCAATAACTTAGACTCTTTCTAAAGGATGGTATGAAAATCGAAGCGCTCTATGCAGTGTGCTGCGTTGACAAGTTTTTTTTTTCTTGCGCAGATTAGTTTTGACCACCGGATTATTTTCGGTCGCGATGATGAAGTTGATGATAATGATAATGATGATAATGAATTTAAGATTTATGATGATGATCTTAATGAATGTTCCCGAAACCAAAAAATATCCACCAAAACCAAAGTAGGAACAATTCTGGACTGTATTAGTTTCCAAGTAAGCTTTACAATCGTATACAGACGACCATCCAAAATTGCACGAGCGAACAACAACTAAAGACAAAACCATGTGCTCACATCCGGGTTTTTGAACTTAATCATTTCATTTAAGCGTCACTAAAATGTCTCATTTGAAAATTGAATAAACAGTGTCACGTCCATTTCCGGCTGTAACATCCTCCCCCCTTGTTCGGCTACATCAGTTGGACGAACACTGTTCCAAAAGGGCTAATTTCGCTACAGGGCGTCTTAATAGACCAAAATTTGTCTTCACTGTACAGTACCGCAAATGATCCCCAACAGCAAATGATCCCGAGACCGCAAATGATCCCCAAAATGGACCGCAAATGATCCTCGACCGCAAGTGATCCCCAAAGTCGACCGCAAATGATCCCGAAAGAAAAATAGGAATGGCTTAGACTCAAGTAAGCGGATCATCGTGTCGATTTTATAATTATTACAAAAAGTAAGATTAAACGCTAAATTTTAGTTCTTAAGTAAATACATGAATAAAAA